GAGAATATCATTTTCTTTCCGGCCACGAGTAGATACGTTGGCTGAGTACGTTGCAGTATAGCTTGTAGGTAGCTAGGGTCCATGTTATCCCCCTGTAGCTAAGAGGATCTCTTGGTGTACCCGTGGTATAGGTGTATCCACTCGCATACCAAGAGTGAGTAAGCCATGCTTGGGATGTTTTAAACAAAGTCCCAGTCTTGTTGTAGCCTAACGGTATCGTGCGGAGTTAGTCAAGAGTGACATCCCTCACTTGTTCCCTGATGTCAGAGGTATCACACTGCAGATTAATGCCGTCATTATTATATCGATTATTGAGGGAATTGTTCAGATTATTTTGTCGTCTCCTTTAATTCATTTTTACGGAAGGATATCTCATATATTTCCCAAAGCGAAGTGTTTTTAGGATGGCAGTTTGAATGGATATCGTCCAAGGGCGGTGTCGTAGAAAGCACAGACGATGCCGTCACAATACGTTGCTATGGGCAACGCACAGTTATCCACTGTAAAGACGGCATCACTCCACACCTCCAGGCAGGAAGTAGGTATCCCCATACACACCTCCAGGCAGGAAGTAGGTATCCCCATACACACCTCCAGGCAGGAAGTAGGTATCCCCATACACACCTCCAGGCAGGAAGTAGGTATCCCCATACACACCTCCAGGCAGGAAGTAGGTATCCCCATACACACCTCCAGGCAGGAAGTAGGTATCCCCATACACACCGGTGGCACTGTCATTCTTGCTGGTCTTATCCATCGTCCGATGGAAAGTCACAACAAAGTAATTTGGCCAAGCTGTAACATTGTTCAAAGATTATCAAATAACCAAATCCCTTGTTCTGATTTACCCACCTAACCTGGAAGGACACTAGTGAGACTGCCTCATCTGGTTCATAGGCACTGGGACAAAACATTCTTCACAAAACTGTATGAAACCAACTTTCCATCACTCCTCTTTCCTTTCATATCAAACAATGTTAATCTTTACCACTGTTTATACCACAAGACATCACTCCATAAATTATACACACCACCTTAACTTCCACTGATCATACCAGTTCTCATACGACTGCAACCGTCACAAGCCATAAATATAATGTATTTATACTCTCTTCATGCAGTTGTTCATACCATCTAACATACCGTCTGTACTATAGTCAGTGTCATCACCTATAACCCATGTATTATCATACCATCTAACATAGCACATCTACTATAGCCAGTGTCATCACCTATAACCCATGCATTATCATACCATCTAACATAGCACATCTACTATAGTTAGTGTCATCACCTATAACCCATGTATTATCATACCATCTAAACATACCGTCTGTACTTTATAGTAATAAGTGTCATCACCTATAACCCATGTATTATCATACCATCTAACATACCGTCTGTACTATAGTCAGTGTCATCACCTATAACCCATGTATTATCATACCATCTAACATAGCACATCTACTATAGTTAGTGTCATCACCTATAACCCATGCATTATCATACCATCTAACATACCGCCTCTACTATAGTCAGTGTCATCACCTATAACCCATGTATTATCATACCATCTAACATAGCACATCTACTATAGTCAGTGTCATCACCTATAACCCATGTATTATCATACCATCTAACATACCGCCTCTACTATAGTCAGTGTCATCACCTATAACCCATGCATTATCATACCATCTAACATAGCACATCTACTATAGTCAGTGTCATCACCTATAACCCATGTATTATCATGTACCATCTAACATACCGCCTCTACTATAGTCAGTGTCATCACCTATAACCCATGCATTATCATACCATCTAACATAGCACATCTACTATAGTCAGTGTCATCACCTATAACCCATGTATTATCATACCATCTAACATAGCACATCTACTATAGTTGGTACCATTACCTATAACCCATGTATTATCATACCATCTAACATACCGTCTGTACTATAGTCAGTGTCATCACCTATAACCCATGTATTATCATACCATCTAACATAGCACATCTACTATAGTCAGTGTCATCACCTATAACCCATGCATTATCATACCATCTAACATACCGCCTCTACTATAGTCAGTGTCATCACCTATAACCCATGTATTATCATACCATCTAACATACCGCCTCTACTATAGTTAGTGTCATCACCTATAACCCATGCATTATCATACCATCTAACATACCGCCTCTACTATAGTCATTGTCATCACCTATAACCCATGCATTATCATACCATCTAACATACCGCCTCTACTATAGTCAGTGTCATCACCTATAACCCATGTATTATCATACCATCTAACATACCGCCTCTACTATAGTTAGTGTCATCACCTATAACCCATGCATTATCATACCATCTAACATAGCACCTCTACTATAGTTAGTGTCATCACCTACAACCCATGTATTATCATACCATCTAACATAGCACATCAACTATAGTTGGTACCATTACCTATAACCCATGTATTATCATACCATCTAACATACCGCCTCTACTATAGTCAGTGTCATCACCTACAACCCATGTATTATCATACCATCTAACATAGCATCTCTACTATAATCAGTACCATCACCTATAACCTATGAATTATCATACCATCTAACATAGCACTTCTACTATAGTCAGTGTCATCACCTATGCATTATCATACCATCTAACATAGCACCTCTACTATAGTCAGTGTCATCACCTATGCATTATCATACCATCTAACATAGCACCTCTACTATAGTCAGTGTCATCACCTATGCATTATCATACCATCTAACATAGCACCTCTACTATAGTCAGTGTCATCACCTACAACCCATGTATTATCATACCATCTAACATAGCATCTCTACTATAATCAGTACCATCACCTATAACCTATGAATTATCATACCATCTAACATAGCACTTCTACTATAGTCAGTGTCATCACCTATGCATTATCATACCATCTAACATAGCACCTCTACTATAGTCAGTGTCATCACCTATGCATTATCATACCATCTAACATAGCACCTCTACTATAGTCAGTGTCATCACCTATGCATTATCATACCATCTAACATAGTGAATGTGTGTGGGTGTAGGTGTGGGGTGTAGTGGGTGTGGGTTTTTGGGTGTAGTGGGCGTTGGTGGGTGTGGGGTGTAGTGGGTCTGGGGTGTAGTGGGTGTGGGTGTGGGCTGTAGTGAATGGGTGTGGGCTGTAGTGGATCTGGAGTGTAGTTAGTGTAGGTTTGGGTTGTAGTGTGATGGTGTGGATGTGTTGTGTAGTAGGTGTGGGGTGTAGCTGAGGGGTGGAGTTGGTGTGGGGTGTAGTGAATGTGTGTGGGTGTAGGTGTGGGGTGTAGTGGGTGTAGTTGGTGTGGTGTAGGTGTGGGGTGTAGTGGGTGTGGATGTGGATGGTGAGGGTTCCGGTCTGGGGTGGTCTGTACTCTATCAACCAGACAATGAAGTGATCGTGTGACGTCATAGCTTGTTTTGTTGAAGCTGGAACTGGATGGTTAGTTAGGATGTAGGTCAGCTGTGTTCACTCGTCGAGGTGGCAGGTTATGGAGACATGTAAACTTAGTGATTCCAGATGCTCATGTACCATTACCGGGGTCCCTGTGAGGAGAGTTTGTGTGTTGGATCCCTTCTGTCTCTGTTAGATGAGGTAACGTGATTTCTGTCACATTGCAGAGCTATAACTTGATTTAATACGACGCTACCGTGAAGAAATACTGGTAACCTGAGAACAAATAACTGCTGAAACTCGCACATCAGTTTCAATTTTATTTTCCATATGCATGTCTATTTACAACTACACAGTGAGGCTAATGATCGCATATGTATAAAGCTATAGAATATATGACCAATGTTGAAATACATATGTACAAAGGTATCACATACATGTACAGTGTTTAACGCATATGTACATCGTAATACACACATATACAACGTTCTAACACTCTAACATGTAGAACATTACAACATGGGTTACATGGTAACACGTACCCTACTCAGTGTATACAGAGATGCAAAACATGGCTATGACTAGCATGAGATTGACACCACACTGTGATGTGACATTTACCACAGTCATTCCACACAGCTCATCATGCAGCGATTCTGAAACGTCCGCTTCCAGGGATATGAGGTGGTGAAATATACTATACAAAACATATTAGGATATGTTGTTTTGAGATGAATCTACAGGGAATAGTGATCTCTCTGGACGTACAAGGACATCAACTCCAGCCGTGGACAGGTGCGAGTCAGTTGAGTAAGAGGCGTCGGTGGTGACGGGAACGTCATGAAGGTGATGATCGATGTTGAGGAGCTTATTGGGTCAATCTCCACATCCACGATCGAACGTCCTAATGAACATTCTATGGACGTTAAGCACACACAGCTTGGTCGTTTTACGGATTGATCCATAGTGGTATGGAAGGAAACACAGACAGTCCGAACTGCTCTTCATATTGCCCGTGGCGGAGTCATTGCTCCATTCGTGTCGCCATTCACACATTCCCAACAACGCTGGTGTCCTGCGACGATTGTGACACGATTCCACTGTCCTGTGGTTTTACCCACTTAACACATCTGGCACGTCATTCGTACACTTGTACGTCAACGTTAAATTCACCCATCACTCTTAATTTAATGACTTCAGTGCTGCTCTCACGTGTAAGTGGAACAAGATGAGCGAAGATGACATTGGGCAACTCATTAGAGGCATGCCTTGAAGAATGTACACGTCTGTCGAACAGTGGTGGCTTTCCCCGACATTAGTCACTCTGACTGAATGTGACGGCCGCATGCAGCACAGTCCCATCACACAAATTATTTAAACCCATTATATCTTACACCTTTTCCATTGGCCCAAAACACGTGGATCAGAACATGTGTCGTCATGATTCACTCTATCATTTTGACTGCATGTTTCGTATCATCAAATGCTGCTTCTCACCACGCCTTATAGGTCATAGATGGGCCTCATACTTTCTCAATAAATACATAAGCTAGCAGGTATTCGCTGTTAAATGTGTCTGGGTTGTAGTCAAGTAGATGGTGTTTCAGGTCAGAGTAGAAGTCGTCAAGGAGGTCGTCTTTCTCGGCAGCTCTTCTGGTCGTTGCCAGAGCAGACTCCATTGTGCCGTGTGTCCATACACGAACCATCTCTCCTATACTATTGGCAAACCTTTCACGGTCATCGATTCCGTCTGTGAACGTAAATTGGCACTGATGTAGAGGAAGACGTGATGACAAAACACCCCAGACTATCATATATCTAAAACATGTATTCTTTAAGACTGCAGTCACATGCAAGACACCTATAGGAACGTGTCAAAAAGATACATATTTGGTGTCGAATCACGTTTAAAATGAGGTTCTGTTTTACAACCTATATTCCACGTAAACAAAGTAACCTCCCTAATCAAAATATGTTCACAAGTTGAACAGCTTTACAATTTGAAAACATAAGTTCTAAAAACGTTAACTATAAATGATCTCAACATGTTTAAATATAGCATATAGCCCATACTTAGTCTAATGTTGATAAGGTGAATAATATGATCGGAAATATGATAGTAACATTAGAATCACAGACACTTTGATAATGCATATATCCTTGGAATAATGCTGTGCTTGTGGTGTTCAGCTATAAACAAACATCTCCCATAGCCAGAAAACAAGTGGTAAAGTACCTTCCACGAGCCTCTGCCTCCAGGTGGTCTTGTGTTGACATTCTATCTGCTTGACGTCAAGTCGGGACAGCTTTAGTCCAGCTGTTACGATGGGCGATGACAGGTTGTCAAAAGGTTGTCTGATTTCTTTAACTGTTCGGAAGTATTCTTTCAATACGGCTTTCTTCATCTCCACCTGTAGCATACAAGTTGTACTCATAGTTACAACTTCATCTCCATCTGTATAATACAAGTTGTACTCAAAGTTACAACAACTTCATCTCCATCTGTAGCATACAAGTTGTACTCATAGTTACAACAACTTCATCTCCACCTGTAGCATACAAGTTGTACTCATAGTTACAACTTCATCTCCATCTGTATAATACAAGTTGTACTCATAGTTACAACAACTTCATCTCCACCTGTAGCACATAAGTTGTACTCATAGTTACAACTTCATCTCCACCTGTAGCACACAAGTTGTACTCATAGTTACAACAACACTGGTGTCAGTATGAGACGACAAAAAAGTAACTCGCATCCCATGGGCACCAATGCCCTCCTCCAATTATCCCTTCTGATATTCTCAGAATAAGTAAATATCAGAATACATAGGCAAAATGAAAACATGGGAATTCGGCCAAGAAGTTCAAGCTTGGGTACATCTGATGTCTCAGTGTTGTGACATGGCCAGTGTCCTGTCACTGATTCACTCCCTTGGCGTCTAAATGTACAGGACACGTGCACCCAACTACTCTGGTTCATATCAGGTCTTAGCATAAGGAGTGCAATAACGTATTCTCAAGATATTTGAACTTTCCAGTCCACACAACACTGCAGCTCCTCCAGTCGATGGATGTGTTTGAGTACAAACTGGCATGCTCTTTACACGAAGATTTCATACGTTCACACGCTCTTTACACGAAGATTTCATACGTTCACACGCTCTTTACACGAAGATTTCATACGTTCACACGCTCTTTACACGAAGATTTCATACGTTCACACGCTCTTTACACGAAGATTTCATACGGTCACACGCTCTTTACACGAACATTTCATACGGTCACACGCTCTTTACACGAACATTTCATACGGTCACACGCTCTTTGATGATGGTTACTACATCTGACATTAGAAATGTAATTGATTTGAAACGTTATACCATATGGGGCATTCCCAGGAGTGACGCAATAGTAACAACAGTATTGTATGACGCATAGCATATACTTTCACTATATAATACCGTTTTTGTTCATGTACACTTGCCGTGGTTGTATATGTGTTTGTGACCAGTAAGAAAGGGTACCTTCACCTTATGACTGATTGTGATTCACGAAATACATGCTTTAAGTATGGTAAGAATTGTACGACTGACCCATCTGATTTCAGCAGATATTTCTTCTGATAATAAATAATCGTTTTGCTGCTTTCATATATTTCCTTGCATTTCCGATGCACTTTGTTTAAACCCTACAGTATCACCCTTATTACACAACACATGGACGCAGATATACGAGAAACACCTGGCGGGTGGCGTACGGAGAATATGAACAGAACATAATATCGATGCGGTACAGTACTTTCTAGTGATTCTCCACAAACTCAGAAGTAAACAATACTAGCGTGTTAAAGAGTTTCAGCGCTCCCAGACGCTAGACACACCTCGGATATCTTCCCCTGGCGCCAGTACGTCCGGAGCATCACGTTGAAGACTGTACAGAGGCCGTCTGCGGAGGACACGCCGTTACCGTTGAGGAACTCGGGGTCGTGGATGGGGATGGAGCAGACAAGATGGCCGCCTGTAGGTAGAGGATTGAGGTATGGCTGGATGTTTTCACATGTATGTACCTTTAGATGCTGATATAAATGGACGGTATTAAAACCGCAGGATTTATGAAGGATTTATGACATTGAAGACTTTATGGTATGACATCCCACAAAGTTCAAACACCGATCCGACACAAGTCCAATTAGATTCTAGAGTAAATAATAATTGACATGTCACTAGATGGGAATTTAAACACTTTTTGTTTGTAACACAACACTGTATCTTCACTTTCAATCTGTGGTCCTCGGTCTCTCACCTTGACCGACAGACCTACAGCATGATGTGAGAACAGCCCCTAGTCGAGTTGCGCAGAGATTAGACATTGATCCAAGCAACAGATCTGCTCAGATTAATGTGAAGATTCAGTCCCAGACAACAGTCGCCTCACCTTTCTTGAGTTCCCGCGCCCTACAGTGAAGGAAGGTCGTCCAGTCATCAGCTGCGATTTTCATTGCAGCGTTCCTGGCCATTGTGTTCAGAAATAGGTTGGAGGTCACGTAGCCATTGAGGTCAACAGGGCTGTGGAAGAAAGGGGAGACAACTTCAAATAATGCCACTTGAAAAATATTCCACATCCAGTTAAAATTGTTAAAAACTGTAGTTTACTTCACATACGGTTTGAAAAAAAAAGTGAAATATAATCAGACAAAAGATGGAAAAGAGCTATTCAGACAAACTACACCAGTAATTGCTGAACAGTGTAACAGTGGAATCATGGCGTATCGCTGTATGTTCAACAACATAAGAGGACAACATCATCCACTGTACGATTCCGACTACATCATGGGCTTGTGTGTATGAATCAATATGAAATAGTGTATCGTGAGCTGTCCAGCTAGAGCCAGACGTCACATCCAGAGGCAATCCAAGTGTTCACCTCAACACGTATGGAAACATCCAAGTGTTCACCTCAACACGTATGGAAACATCCTGCACGCATCAAAACAGGAACGTATGGTCCCAGGAGCGTCCGGTCTGGAAATGTCCGGTCTTACAAAGGTCTTGAGACTCGTAACCCTGATCAACAACGTTTGAAGGCTATTTGAAGTGATATTAAGACAGACGGACCATATGTTGGGCCACATGTTGGACCATAGAAGTTTGACACTTTCATGAACCTTTGGTAAATCTTTGAGCGGACATGATGAGGACGATGTTAAGCAATGATCTATGTTCTTGGGGTTGTCCAGATCCTGGACAAAAGGTGCTACTTAATATATCTACAGAGTAAAACGGTGAAATGCTGGCGTTACCTGGAGAGCCAGTGCAGCGCTATGAAACACAGAATCATGTCCATGGACTGGGACGGCACACACTGCTTGTAGAAGTTGGTGGCGCATGCTGATGTGAAGAGGCACGTGTCGTCCCCGATGTAGCTTAGGGGTTCACACACGGGGCCTGCAAGGGAACACAGATAAACACAATCGTTTCAGGTCATTCCACTGCATCGTTCTGTCTCTCTCTCTCACTGTCTCTCTCTCTCCCTCTCTCTCTCTCTTTCTCTCTCTCTCTCTCTCTCTCTCTCTCTCTCTCTCTCTCAAATATGGGACATAACCTCAATACTCAGACACAATGTAACCGAAAGAAAGCCATACCATGCAGTTTGTGGAAGAGTGAGTTGTAGTCATTCTTGTAGGTATCCTCATACAGAACACTGATCTCTAGATCACGACCATGGAGACAGCGGATTTCTCCTGAAAGGGAGATGAAATACCTTGGGAAAAGATACACAAAAAACTCAACAACTATTAGACAAAAACAAAAGCTTATCTACCAAAGTCTGTCAGGAATCAGCGGGTAGGTGGGGGAATGTACGCAGTGTCCTCGCGTACCATAGGATCATGACAGCGACACAAGCAATGAACTTAAGACATTGCACCCAACTAAGGAATCGAACACAGGCCGTCGGCGTGAAACGCACTAGGCTATCCCACCGCCCGCAGCTGCAGGAATCTACAAGAGTATCACAAAAATGTATCTTCCAATGTATCACAACATCTCCGACAGCGAAGGCGGTGTGTTATTATACAGGGGCTGTACGATACCTAGTGGTTAAAGCGTTCGCTCATCACGCCGAAGACCCGGGTTCGATTCCCCGCATGGGTACAATGTGTGAAGCCATTTCTGGTGTTCCCCGCCGTGATATTGCTGGAATATTGCTAAAAGCGGCGTAAAACTAAACTCAGTCAGTCAGTCAGTTATTATGCATCTTGTATCAGACATTTCTTGGATTCACGTGGTTTGGTAGATTAAACCACCGACCACCCTCTCTCCAGGCAGACGCTCTATCCGCTCCACCTTCGGAGTCTGTGGCCTAGATATTACATTTGAGGTGCGCATGCTGTTTATAATAGAAGCGACAAAACCCTTTCCACGTTCACAAATGTCGATTGTACAACTGTGACTTTATTATGAGCATATATTTGTTTCAACAGCATTACAACTGCCTGATGTTGTCTGGACCAGACAATCCAGTGATAAACCACTAGATCGTAGAAAGTGAACGTAGCATCAGTGATGAAGGTAATGTCCGGTACCATTCCTTATTTTAACGTGCGTTCCCGTATATTTTAAGGTGAACAGTTGACTCGGCTTTGCATGTGTTTTAGACGGGTGGGTCAGGATACACTCGTATTTTAGCGAACACCCGGTATCATCACTTTCTGATGGTCATTCGGAAACACTCTTATGATATAGTCAGAACCGTGCAACCAACGGTCTTCGGATAGGTCACGGATCCGAAAAGGGTTTTATCAGACATTTATGGCTGCATAATGTTACTGACCTATATATCAGACAGTGAGGACAGCGTATTAGTACTTCCCTAGATACTAGATAGTGAAGGGCGCATCTTGTTATTAGACCCCTAATCTTAGACAGGGAAGCAAGTAAGTTATTACCTGCCAGATATAGGACACTGAAGACTGCATGGTATTATACCCTAAAATATTAGACATGGAAGTGAACGTTATTGCAAGCCTAGCCAATCAATCAGTGATGGGTGCATGTTATCAAACCCCCAGATAGCAGAGTGACCGACGCAGACACTGACCAATGATCGCCCGTATGAGGTCCATGGAGATGGACACGTCCGCCACGCCATAGTCTCCCAGGTGGAAGGTGTTAGACGATACTTGTGTCTGGCCTGCAACGACGTAAAGTTCATGTATAAACGTAACCGGACACTTGATTAAAACCAAAAAGAATGGATCTAAGGTCACGCAAAAAGATTGAGAGCGACAGGTAGACATTTAAATCAATAGACGTACAAAAAATTTACTTGTATTTGACAAAACGAATAGGAAAGTGGAACTATTTCAATAATATAATAGTCAGTTTCATTAACATAAGTTACATGAAGCCATACTATACAAGACATAACTAATCCCCTCTCTCTGCCCGCCCACATATAACACCGATGTAAAAGATAACACACGTCCAGGATTATCAGCAGTATAGCTGGAAGGAGTAGATTTAATAAATTGTAAAAGTTTAGGTTGAATTGCGGCATGAAAATGATCAGGCATTTCCATACCAAGCCTATGGTATTTGTTATGCTGGCATTGGCGATATTTCAACATATCGAGTGCTACCACAATGATGACTTTCACACATGTCCTTAGTGTTAACACACCAGATAAAGGTCATATCTGAATCTCCTGAGAAAATCAGCTCGTGCCAAGGAAAACCTCTCAATTCACCGTTTCAATGTATTTTAGCATTACGTATACACTTAGTTGTTTCCAGTGAAAGAATAATAAAATGTACAATAGTCAACATACTGTTTTACCGTCGATATATTCTCCTAACCTTTACATAATGTCCAGTAGTCAAGACCCTGTTCTACCGGCTACATGTACTAACCTTTACATATTGTACAGTAGTCAAGGTCCTGTTCTACCGTGTATATATTGTACTAACCCTAACATATTGTACAATAGTCAAGATCCTGTTCTACCGTGTATATATTGTACTGACCGTAACATCTTGTACAATAGTCAAGATCCTGTTCTACCGTTTATAGATTGTACTAACCTTAAAATATTGTACAATAGTCAAGATCCTGTTCTACCGTGTATATATTGTACTGACCGTAACATCTTGTACAATAGTTAAATACTGTTCTACCGTTTATAGATTGTACTAACCTTAAAATATTGTACAATAGTCAAGATCCTGTTCTACCATTTATATATTGTACTGACCGTACCATATTGTACAATAGTCAAGATCCTGTTCTACCATTTATATATTGTACTAATCTTAACATAGTGTACAATAGTCAAAATCCTGTTCTACCGTGAATATATTTTACTAACCTTAACATAGTGTACAATAGTCAAGATCCTGTTCTACCGTGTATATATTGTACTGACCGTAACATAGTGTACAATAGTCAAGATCCTGTTCTACCATTTATATATTGTACTGACCGTAACATATTGTACAATAGTCAAGATCTTGTTCTACCGTGTATATATTGTACTGACCTTAACATAGTGTACAATAGTCAAGATCCTGTTCTACCGTGTATATATTGTACTGACCGTAACATATTGTACAATAGGTAAAATACTGTTCTACCATTTATATATTGTACTGACCGTAACATATTGTACAATAGGTAAAATACTGTTCTACTATTTACATATTTTACTGACCGTAACATATTGTACAATAGGTAAAATACTGTTCTACCATTTATATATTGTACTAACCTTAAAATATTGTACAATAGTCAAGTTCCTGTTCTACCGTTTATATATTGTACTGACCGTAACATATTGTACAATAGTCAAGATCCTGTTCTACCGTGTATATATTGTACTGACCTTAACATATTGTACAATAGTTAAAATACTGTTCTACCGTGTATATATATGTATTCTTTACATATTGTAGTATATTGCAATAACATACTGTTCTTATATTGCTAACATATTTTACACAGTGGACAAATGTTGACATATTGTACAAACGTTTACATATTGCTCCCACGCTGACATATTCGACTATCGAGTACACTTACGTAAAATGTCGATGATGTCACGTTTGATGGCGTCAGCTGCGTCACGCTCGCCGTTAAACTGAACCTTGTGATTGAGTCGCTTAATTCCATTCATTCTGTAAATCAACACAGTTGGCAGGTTGATGCATTCAAACACCTGTATTGAATATTGATGCAGAAACGAAACATCCAATGCCCTGGACGAAACAGGTGCAGAAACGAATGTGTTAAACAAAGTTAATATTCAGTCAAATTCTACAGAATATTATTTTGAATTCGGATTTTCAGATCAGGTTCTAATGTATTAATAAATATGATCAAAGCATAACCACAACAAACAATATTCATTCGAAAACCATTCTGGCAAAATACTACCAGAACATTTCAACGAATTTCTAAGATGCTTCCAAAACCGTTTGCAAAAAATAGAACGTACCTTGAAATTCTTCGATTTCTTGTAACATGGCAGTGCCTGTGGACTGTTGTCTTATATATAGTATTGAGGGGTGATCAACACATCCCATTCTCGTGGTCTGATAAGATAACAAACCAACTATTCCGTGCTCGGTCAGTGATGAAATTAACATCACAGGTCAAAGTCCTTGACAGAATGTTCAGAGTCGTAAAGCTGTTCAAGGACACACTGCTGGTAAAAACGTTGTGAGGCCAATATGTGGACTTGTTGTTGAGAACATGTTGGCAAAATGGAGCCTTTGATTAAATGCTGAAATTGTTTCAGAATTTATATTAACGAATTCGATTTCCATTAACAGGGTGCACACTTTCCGTGGACAATCTGTAGTGTTTCTGCAGGACAATCGAGTGTCAGGAGTTCTGTAGGGTTTCTGCAGGACAATCGAGTGTCAGGAGTTCTGTAGATCTTCTGGACGACAATCGAGTGTCGGGAGTGCTGTTGGGTTTCTGCAGGACAATCGAGAGACCGGAATTCTGTAGGGTTTCTGCAGGAAAATCGAGTGTCAGGAGTTCTGTAGGGTTTCTGCAGGACAATCGAGTGTCAGGAGTTCTGTAGGGTTTCTGCAGGACAATCGAGTGTCAGGAGTTCTGTAGGGTTTCTGCAGGACAATCGAGAGCCAGGAGTGCTGTAGGGTTTCTGCAGGACAACCGAGTGTCAGGAGTTCTGTAGGATTTCTGCAGGACAATCGAGTGTCAGGAGTTCTGTAGGGTTTCTGCAGGACAATCGAGTGCTAGGATTTCTGTAGGGTTTCTGCAGGACAATCGAGTGTCAGGAGTTCTGTAGGGTTTCTGCAGGACAATCGAGTGTCAGGAGTTCTGTAGATTTTTTGGACGACAATCTAGTGTCGGGAGCTCTGTTGGGTTTCTGCAGGACAATCGAGTGTCCGGAATTCTGTAGGGTTTCTGCAGGAAAATCGAGTGTCAGGAGCTCTGTAGGGTTTCTGCAGGACAATCGAGTGCCAGGAGGTCTGTAGGGTTTCTGCAGGACAATCGAGTGTCAGGATTTCTGTTGGGTTTCTGCAGGACAATCGAGTGTCAGGAGTTCTGTAGGGTTTCTGCAGGACAATCGAGTGCTAGGAGTTCTGTAGGGTTTCTGAAGGAAAATCAAGTGCCAGGAGTTCTGTAGGGTTTCTGCAGGACAATCGAGTGTCAGGAGTTCTGTAGGGTTTATGCAGGACAATCGAGTGTCAGGAGTTCTGTAGGGTTTCTGCAGGACATTCGAGTGTCAGGAGTTCTGTAGGGTTTCTGCAGGACAATCGAGTGTCAGGAGTTCTGTAGGGTTTCTGCAGGACAATCGAGTGCCAGGAGTTCTGTAGGGTTTCTGCAGGACAATCGAGTGTCAGGAGTTCTGTAGGGTTTCTGCAGGACAATCGAGTGTCAGGAGTTCTGTAGGGTTTCTGCAGGACAATCGAGTGTCAGGAGTTCTGTAGGGTTTCTGCAGGACAATCGAGTGCTAGGAGTTCTGTAGGGTTTTATGCAGGGCAATCGAGTGTCAGGATTTCTGTAGGGTTTCTGCAGGACAATCGAGTGTCAGGAGTTCTGTAGGGTTTCTGCAGGACAATCGAGTGCCAGGAGGTCTGTAGGGTTTCTGCAGGACAATCGAGTGTCAGGAGTTCTGTAGGGTTTCTGCAGGACAATCGAGTGCCAGGAGTTCTGTAGGGTTTCTGCAGGACAATCGAGTGTCAGGAGTTCTGTAGGGTTTCTGCAGGACAATCGAGTGTCAGGAGTTCTGTAGGGTTTCTGCAGGACAATCGAGTGTCAGGAGTTCTGTAGGGTTTTTGGACGACAATCTAGTGTCAGGAGGAGGGTTTTCTTTCTAGGGTTTCTGCAGGACAATCGAGAGTCCAGGGATTCTCTGTAGGGTTTCTGCAGGACAATCGAGTGTCAGGGAGTTCTGTAGGGTTTCTGCAGGACAATCGAGTGTTCAGGAGTTCTGTAGGGTTTCTGTAGGGTTGCTGCAGGACAATCGAGTGTCAGGAGTTCTGTAGGGTTTTTGGACGAGAATCGAGGTGTCAGGAGTTCTGTAGGGTTTCTGCAGGACAATCGAGAGTCTAGGAGTTCTGTGTGGGTTTCTGCAGGACAAGTCAGGAGTAGGGTCAGGATTTCTGTAGGGTTTCTGCAGGACAATCAGGAGACGAGAATCGAGTGGGCCAGGATTTCTGTAGGGTTTCTGCAGGACAATCGAGTGTCAGGAGTGTCAGGGAGTTCGAGTGTAGGAGTTTTCTGCAGGACAATCGAGTGTCAGGAGTTCTGTTTCTGCAGGACAATGAGGTCAGGAGTTCTGCAGGACAATCGAGTGTGTTCTGTTGGGTTTCTGCAGGACAATCGAGTGTCAGGAGTTCTGTAGGGTTTCTGCAGGACAATCGAGTGTCAGGAGTTCTGTAGGGTTTCTGCAGGACAATCGAGTGCTAGGAGTTCTGTAGGGTTTCTGCAGGACAATCGAGTGTCAGGAGTTCTGTAGGGTTTCTGCAGGACAATCGAGTGCCAGGAGTTCTGTAGAGTTTCTGGAGCGGTCTTCTCTCACAACTGGTCTCTAACTTTGGCATGTGGCTTCACTGAGAAACATCTAGCGGAATAAAGCGTATACTTTCACATTTCTAGCTAGTAACCACATTGCACAACACTGTCTAAAACCATTGTTCATTGTTCAATATCTAGATATAGGAAAACATACATTCGTCTTTGCCTAATATCTAGGGTTATGATGGCATGCATTCTCCTTAATTTGTGTTAGTTCATATGTGCTTGTTGGGGAGGTAAGAAAGGGATGGACTCTCATGTCAAATAGACATCTTTATGCAAAGAACTTGCTCTCCCTTCAGGAAACAATACACATATAGCCAGTGTTACGTGAAGCAGAAACTCACTTATTCGGGAATTCATCAGCCTTCAACTCCGACGTACTGTGTCGTTGGTGTAATCCTCTTGAAATCGGTTTGCATATTGTTACATTGCTGTATTTCCCACTCCACTGTTTGCTACATACATTAATGCATTGTACTTGTAGCTTTTGGTATTAACATATTTGTATTGTCCCTGTAGCTCTTTGGGACGTTAGTTTTGTCCTTGCTGCTTTTGGGTCCTTACTTTACCCATACAGAGGAACCCCGCTGCCCTGCATGAACATACCTACAAGAATGACTACAACTCTCTCTTCCACAAACTGTATGGTATGCGTATACCTGGGTCAATAGTCACTATTATCACGTGATGTGTGCATGGACCGTGTTCATATCAGATCATGAACAATGAATGCTTGATGTTTAAGTAAAGGAACTCTCAATGTGGGACACTGACCTGCATGTAAAACTTTATTTGAGTGTTAAAATAACTTTCAAAAAGCATCGTTCAGTACCACCATCTATCCCAGGCATTAAGACAGGAAATTATCTAAAAGTGCAAATACAACACGAGGACAAATCATTCAAAGGTGGGAAGCATGCGCTTCTTGTTATCTGGAAAAACTGCCTAAACAATATGACGACTTCACAAGATTTATTATGAACTTATTTTCGCTTGACGCTATCATGCCGCCTTCGTGTGTGTGAAGTGTGATCGGATATGTAAACAACAACGGCTCAATGGGTTGAATGAGGTTAGGGTGGAGTCGCTATCAGTGTACACACGGTGAACATTCACTGTTGCCCCGCCGCCCACACACTGGTCACTGCTCCGTGGTTTCATGTCGTCCTAAAGGTCACACCAGCAGTTTGCCATACTCTCCAGACTCTCCGGGTGAAACTAACAGTTTACCATACTATACAGACTTTCCGGGTGAAACTAACAGATTGCCACGCTATACAGACTCTCCGGGTGAAACTAACAGTTTACCATACTATACAGACTTTCCGGGTGAAACTAACAGATTGCCATATACTCCAGGCTCTCCGGGTGAAACTAACAGATTGCCATATACTCCAGACTCTCCGGGTGAAACTAACAGATTGCCACACTATACAGACTCTCCTGGGGAAACTAACAGATTGCCATACTATACAGACTCTCCGGCTGAAACTAACAGCTTACCATATACTCCAGACTCTCCGGGTGAAACTAACAGTTTACCATAATATACAGACTCTCCGGCTGAAACTAAGAGATTGCCATATCCTCCAGGCTCTCCGGGTGAAACTAACAGTTTACCATACTATACAGACTCTCCGGGTGAAACTGACAGATTGCCATACTATACAGACTCTCCGGGTGAAACAAACAGATTGCCATATACTCCAGGCTCTCCCGGTGAAACTAACAGTTTACCATACTATACAGACACTCCCGGGTGAAACTAACAGATTGCCATACTATACAGACTCTCCGGGTGAAAATAACAGCTTGCCATACTATACAGACTCTCCGGGTGAAACTAACAGAATGCCATATACTCACAGGCTCTCCGGGTGAAACTAACAGTTTACCATACTATACATGCAGACTCCCCGGGTGAAACTAACAGATTGCCATACTATACAGACTCTCCGGGTGAAACTAACAGATTGCCATACTATACAGACTCTCCGGGTGAAACTAACAGTTTACCATATACACAGGCTCTCCGGGTGAAACTAACAGATTGCCATATACTCCAGGCTCTCCTGGTGAAACTAACAGATTGCCATACTATACAGACACTCCGGGTGA